GGAGGGCGCGGTCGGTCCGCTCCGCCCTTTATCACCTTGGACGAAACCATGAGGCGGAGCAAGGGTGCATGTGCGGACCAACGGACACTACTAGTTTCAAAATCTCTGGCTCCAAGTGCATGCATATAACCCTCAGTGGCATACAATAGGGACCATCACTCAAAGAATACAGTGAAACTGACAACATACAAAGAAAGCTGTCAAATGCACAGAATATAAAATGGACAAAAGGAAAATATTTAATTTTTGATCTCTTCCTGGGGGCTTCTCTACCCTAGAAAGGTTTTCTGCTTTAACTATATTGGAATAGTTAAAGCAGCAACATCCCTCCACCCTATGTCGATGCAATTATACTGGCATAAAGGTGCTTATACCACTGGTAGAGCTTATTCCAGTTTGGGAAGCGACAAACTATAATGGTACAAGACATCTTTATACCAGTATAATTGTATAATCCCTATGCCAGTAGAACGACTGGTTAAAAAAAAAAAAAAATCACAGCCCTAACCAACACTGACTAGGAACATTTTTCTCATGTAGACCAACCTTGAGATGTTACCAGTAACAAAAATAGGTACAAAAGTTGCTATTGAAGTGATTTTTAAGTTGTTTAAGGGACACCATCATCAAATCCCCTTATCTATAGTTAGGGCCCTACCAAATTCACTGTCCACTTTGGTCAATTTTTGGTCATTGGATTTTTAAAATTGTAAATTTCATGATTTCAGCTATTTAAATCTGAAATTTCACAGTGTTGTAAATGTAGGGATCCTGACCCAAAAAGGAGTTGTGGGAGGGGCCGGGGGATCACAAGTTTATTGTTGGGGGGGGGGGGGGTTGCGGTACTGCTACCCTTACTTCTGCACTGCGGGTGGTGGTGCTGCTGCTGCCTTCAGAGGTGGGCAGCTGGCGAGCGGTGGCTGCTGGCAGGGCATGCCACCCTTACTTCTGTGCGGCTGCTGGCGGCAGCTCAGCCTTCAGAGATGGGGTCCCGGCCAGCAGCCACCACTCTCCAGTTGCCCAGCTCTGAAAGCAGCGCCACCAGCAGCACAGAAGTAAGAGTAGCAGTACCACTACCCTCCCTCCAATAACCTTGTGACCCGCCCTGCGACTCCCTTTTGCATCAGGACCCCCAATCTGAGAAACGCTGGTCTCCCACCTGAAATCTGTATAATATAGGGTAAGAGCCCACAAAAGACCAGATTTCACGGTCTGACACACGTTTTTCACGGCCACGAATTTGGTAGGGCCCTATCTATAGTAAATAAATCACCTTAGATCATTGCTACTGGAAACATTTTCAAAATCTGATTTTTCACTATACTGTTTTCTTAGGGTTTTGTCTTCACTAGACTTTTGAATTGCCATCTCACTTGAAGTACTTAACAGATTTGCAAAGGCTAGTGTGGACACCTCCCACACATTTGGCCCAGGCTACAAATGCATGGGACTGGTAAGAGTGGGATGGACTGAATGGGGAGTGCCCTTACAAACATGTTAAGTATCTCCAGTTAATTGTCAATCACTGAGACCTTGTCTACACTTGCAAGTTAGAGTGCATTGAATCAGCCCCGGGCGCCCTAACTCCTGAGGTTTCCACACTGGCAAGGCACTTAGAGCGCCTGGACTCCGCGGCTGGAGCGCCCCTGGTAATCCACCTCCACGAGAAGCATAGAGCTTGCTGCGTCCTGGCTGAAGCGCTGGGATGTCAGTGTGGATGACGTGTTGCATTACTGCACTGTGATTGGCCTCCGGAAATGTCCCATAATCCCTTGAAGTCAAGTGGCCACTCGTGTCATTGTTTTGAACTCGGCTGCAGGCATGCAGATATCCCCTTTCAAAGCTCCGTTTCTGACAGCCCGCATGCTTATCTGCTCTGGGACACAAAGCAAACCATTACTGTGGAATGCTGTTGCTGCAGAGACAGGCATGTGTGCGAGAGAGAGAGAGGGGTGGAGGCTGATATCGGGGTTTTCCCCTTCCCCCGCCGCTGTCTGAACTTACAAGACAGCATGCTGACACACTCTGCCCCCAAAACACACTGTCTCTCCCCTCACATACACGCAACACACTCCACCTCCCCATTTGAAAAGCAGCTGACAATCTAGTAGGATGCCCTGGAACAATGGGATTGGGAAACCTGCATCATGTGATGCTGTGCCTGCCCCATTAGGCATTGCAAACCCCTTCCAAAGCACGCTGCAGCCACTTGCACACTGGGATAGCTACCACAATGCACTGCTCTTTGTGGCATTGCAAGAGCTGCTAATGTGGCCACGCCACTGCACTTGCATTTGTGTGAACACACAACAGCGCTTTCCCTGCTGCTGTCTCTGAGGGCTCTACATCTGCAAGTGTAGACATAGCCTGAGTAAAAACATCTGGTGTAGGCATAACCCTTATTCTTTACATTTTTCTCAGTTTGCTACTAAAAACATCAGTCATTTATACTTCAGTTTCTAGTTCTCTGACACTATCATAATGCTGCAATGTTTGGGTTCAGAATATTGCAGAACATCTATTGCATACAAATGGTTTCCACTGGAAATTTAAATTAATATATGGAAACATTTTTACTGGTCTTAGGTTTTGTACAAGCTTTAGACTACCTGAAGTTACGTTTGGCCCTAAATTTAATGTAGGGCACCCATTCCACAATCTCAGAGCATGAGTATCTGATCTAGTAGCATGCCTCTAAATCCCAGTCTTTTATTCATGCACTTTTGTTTAGTATTGAACTCACTACCCAAGAGAAGGTATATTCATCAACTAGACTATTACTGACTACCACATTAAAGATATTCTGCAGTAAGCATGATAAAGCAGCTATTTTCTTGACCCTCAGAAGCCTACCAATGTAGTACTCTCTCTGTCTATGTTAGGCTGTGTATGATCTATAACTGGGGTCTCAAACTCAGATGACCCCGAGGGCCGCATGAGGACTAGTGCATTGGCCCGAGGGCCGCATCACTGAACCCCTCCTCCCCCGCTGCCTCTGGCCCCGCCCCCACTCCGCCCCTTCCAATTAGGCCCTGCCCCTGCCCCACCTCTTCCCACCCCTTCCCTGCCCCATTCCAATCCCTTCCCTGAAGTCCCCACCCCAACGCTGCCCCCAGGGGGTGCAGAAAAGGCGCAGGGTGCAGCGGGGGCTGAGGGCAGGGAGTTGAGGTGCAGGTGGTGTGCAGGGTGCTCAGGGCAGGGAGTTGGTGTGTAGGGTACAAGTGGGGTGCGGCAGGGGATCGGGGTGCAGGGTGCAGCAGGTGGCTCAGGGCAGGGAGTGCAGGAGGGGTGCAGGATGTGGCAGGGGGCTCAGGGCAGGGAGTTGAGGGTGCAGGATGTGGCAGGGGGCTCAGGGCAGGGAGTTGGGGGTGCAAGAAGGGTGTGGGATGTGGTGGGGGCTCAGGGCAGGGAGTTGAGGTGTGGATGTGGCGGGGGGCTCAGGGCAGGGAGTTGGGGTGCGGGATGTGGCGGGGGGCTCAGGTCTGGGGGTTGGGGTGTGGGATGTGGCAGGGGACTCAGGGCTGGGAGTTGGGGGTGCAGGCGGGATTCAGGGTGTGAGCTCCAGCCTGGTGCCGCTTACCTAGAGCAGCTCCAGGGTGGCAGCGACGCTCACTGGGGCCAGGGCAGGCTCCCTGCCTGCCTTGGCCCCGGCTCCCTGCTGCTCCGTTCTAGGAAGCAGCTGGAACCGTGTCCCTGCAGCCCCTGGGGGAGGGGGAGGGGCTCAGGCTTCCCTGCTTGTGCAGCTCTTGCCGCTCTTCTAGGTACCTCCCACGAAGCTCCCATTGGCCGCGGTTCCCTGTTTCCAGCCAATGGGAGCTGTGGGGGGCGGTGCCTGGCAGGAGGCAATGCCGGAGCCCGCTGCCTCCTTCCCCCTCCCCCCAGCCCGAAGGGGCATGCTGCCAGCTGCTTCAGAGAGCAGCGCGGCACTTGCAGCATCAGGAGGCAATCCCACAGGTAGGCAGGGGGTGCGGGGAGCGGCGGGGGAGGGGGGGGGGCGTGGGGAGCTTGGCAGGCCACACACAAGAGCCTGCGGCCCGCGTGTTTGAGACCCCTGATCTATAAGAATGCCATGTTTTTAAGAAAATGCATCTTAAAACAGATACAATGTTAAGACAGTGGCTGTACTATTCTCTAATGATTATTTCATATTTCTCTCTCTCATTGGGTTGCTGTAACCAGAGATCTATTATGGAAAAGATTAAAATAGAGAATAAATGAATCAGAATAGAACAAAGTACTAAAAATGTGAGACAAGATGGGAAACAATACCTTGCTGGCAGTAGGTCTGGATAATGCAGCTTGCAGAGATCTGTCTCTGTATATCATCTTCTACCTAACTAATTGTACCCTGCACTTTTCACCTTCTGTATGGTGTTGTCCTAACCTCTGATCTTATGGTGTTGTCCTGATTTTAGATTCTTCATATTTTTAAAAATAACTTGTTTTGAAAGATATATATCTTATTTCATGTGTAAAGCCTTAATTTTGTGAGAAATTTGACCAGTTATATATTTTTCTCCCCGCCCCCAGACTTTACATTTATATAAAGAGCTAGAAAGATTTTTGATAGTTTCACTTTCCGTTAATATCAATTCCTGCTTAAGCAAGAGACATAAGCAGTATTCAGACCACTCACAAATCTCATACTCTACTTTGAACTTTCCTACTTTATCATAAAATTATATTAATACAGGCATGGTTATGTCTAACTGAAAATGAACTAAATTTGTTGGTCAAGATAATTCTCTTCATGTCAGTTTTTTAATGACACTAGTTTTGATACAGATTTCACATAATCTCCCTTCATCAACTACAAGAAAATAATGCTATTGGAAAAGGAGGCAGCACTTTCAGTCTGTTGGCTTTTGTAGCCTAAATATCAGAAAGGAAAAATAAGAGATGAAACAAGAGATGAAATGCAACTGAAAATAAATACAACTACAAACTAGGCCATTATAAATTCTCACTGAAACAGATTTTTTTTTTTTTTTTTTTTTTACCTTAAGCCATTTATCGACACACTTGGCATGGAACTCGTGGTTACAAGGTAAGACTCTAAGTAGCTGCCTTGACTCAAAATCACACATGCATACTACGCACCTAAAAAAAAAGATTGCAGAGTTTGAAGTTATTTGCTATTCAACAACAACAAATTGGCATTCTATAGACAACTTATAGGTTGTGCTTGCAATGGGGTTTTTAGTAGGAGTAGCTACATGGAGCGGCATGAGTACAAACCTCTCGTGTAGAGCGGCTGTGCCAGTGTAAACAGAGCTGCTCCAATGCCACTTACCTTGGCTTCAAACCTCAGCATAGGGAAGGGCTAATGCTCCTACCACACAGGATCTTCACCACCCCAATCAATAGCACAAGCAAGATTTTGTTACAGTAATTCATAAGAATATTAAAGTTTGCAATGAGCTGCTGAAGATTAGTCAGTGCAAACCCCGTTAAGTACTTTTCATTCAGTTTTAATATTAGGATAATTTTTTTTATAGGAACATATATAAAAAGGCTAATTATGAGTTGCCACTTTTTTTTCCCCTCTCAAAAAGGTGTGAACCTTGGATCAGATTACTTTTTAGAAATTCCCCCTTTACTTTATATTTCTGTTCAGTCACATGTTTTCTTCAAACAGATTCATCATGGTTGAAACATCGTCAACTTAAAGCAAAAAACAATCACATTTCCACCTGAAAATCTATTCCCTACTTCTCGTTACAAGTAATACCTAAGACTGTTGTAACTAGAAGTCTGAAAAAAAGGCCTTTTTTTTTTCTTCCAGTTTGTTTACTTTATATATCTGACAGCACTTTGTGTATGGTCACTTTCACTGCCTCCCATGTATAATCATTTTCTCCTTTTGTTTGTGTGGTCTTCCAAATAGAACAGATAAACAGATTAATAGGAAAATGTGTAAACCACAAAAACTGGCCAGGGCTTTCAGAGGTAGGGACAGTGCCTGAAACCACTTTTGATATAGGGTAAATTTCAAGTTGACGATGTCCCTTTAATGTAGCAAACTGAATAAATAACTGGACAACTTTTAAAAACTGTTCCAAGTTTACCTACTCATCATTTTAAACCTTAAAACATCCCAAATTTCAAATAGGAATGTATGAGCTTTCAAAGTCAGGGTAATTATTATCTGGGCTGGAAAATTTAAAAAGGCACATACCGTTTGATGTGCATTTTGAGCACTTGTGTTACAATACTGGCAAATATGGACTCCAACCTAGAAGGATCAAAATTACCTATAATGCATTTTAAACTGAGAGGCAAAAGCAATGCACTTACAAAGTCTGTTCTGACTGGTGGTTGTTTGGATTGAACCTGTAAGATGGAAGCTGTTCAATGTCTGCCTTTGTCAGTCCTCGTGGTTTGGCTTCTCCCAATCGTTCTGCCAAATTCAACAGCGCCTGCAGAAAGTGGAGTTTGTGCTTTTTAAAAACTCATTGTTCAAAGGAGCTCCAGCTCCCCTACAACTGCAATTTTTTTTTTTTTTTGACATAAAATGTTATCACTATCCCACCATATAGTTCTAGCAAGAGGGATTGAGAATCTTTATCTCCCCTTCCCTCACAATTACAGGCTCTTGGAAAACATTCCTTTCAGAGTTTGATCCCAGGTAAGTACTTTTTGAACTGTATAAGAAAGCTCTGTTCAGGTTATCTAAATCTTCATGACTCAGTTCTTAATCCATCCTGCAGCTGCAGTCACAGCATGATAAATACTTTGTTTTTAGACAGAAAAAAGCTGAAATAATAGTATGAATAATCAGAGGAAACAGTTGCCCAACCTGATTGCATATTGCTGCCTGGTTGACCTGTAGTTTAAAGGGACAACACCTCTGGCTCCCACTTCTTGCCTAGCTGAGTTCAGGTATGGAGAGATTACGTGCTGAGAGCTTCCAAGGAATGACGAAATCACACTGAACTGGGCAGACTCTTTCAGTAGTAGAATATTTTTATTCATGTACAGGCTTCGCTATGGAGCACGATATCAAAACACTTCACTTCTCCCATGTAAATGATTTATCCTCAATACCCTTGTGAGTTGAGGAAGCAGCCAACAGCTTCAGAAACAGGGTAACTGAGGCACAGAGAAATTAGGTGAGTTGCTCAAATTCACCAAGGGAGCATGTGGCAGAAGTGAAAGCTGAATCTGGATCTCCTGAGCCCAGCCTACTGTCTTAACTGGCATGGCAACCGCTTCAGTGGAGCTTGCACATCTCACACTGGAAATATCACACCATTGCAAGGACGCAGAACCAAGGTGATGGATCAAGGGAAAGGAGAGGCAGAGGAAGGGAAAACAACTTTTAACTGCCCTCTCATTTCTCCCTCTCAGCACAGCTGCCCTTTTTCCATGGGGGGCGGGGGGGAAAACAGCAAACAAAACCCCCCACTAGAGCTGCAGTCTGACTGTTTCAATAAGTAGCTGTCTGGCCACTATCTGTTACTAATAAGTCAGCGAGGTTCCTGGGGAACAGAAAAAGGGAGAAGTGGGTTTCTAAGCTCAGGGAACTGGGGGAGAGGGGAGGGAAGAGAAAAGAAAAGCTTAAGACATATCACTGTCCATCTGCTAGCTAGGAGGAACTATATAACCCAAGTGCCGGGACTGAGATAGAAGAATGGTTTTAAAAAGAATGAAGCTGTACTCTAATAGCAACAAGCTACTTCAAGTTGTACATTAGGTTGTTACCAATGCACATCCTGAACCAATAAGCCATCTAAGAGCACACCCTAAGATGGTTTACTGCTTTTTCTTCACATCAATATTTGTATTAGAGAATGCATCAACTGAAATGGTATTTGCATATTTATATACCCTTCCAGTTCACAACTTTTATACCTTATTTCCATATTTCAAAGGTTAGGATTTTTAACCTGTAACTTCCTTGGTATGTGTTTTTTCCAATACTTGTTACTTATGACAGTACCCTTAACATTAAGGCAACAAAGTGCATGACGGAAGTTTGTAAGCATTATGTTTCACATTCAGCTGAATTCATCTTATAATAGCAGCATTAGCGTGTAAAGCTAACATCAATTAGCAAGTCATGTAAAATGCACTACATGACATTATTTGCACAAGACTTACTTCTGTAAAATATTTAAAAATCAATTAAAATGCAAGAAAAAAGTGAAATCTAGAATGAAAAACGGAGCAATTAATGATTAGTAGTCTGGGAGGGTTCTGAAAATTAATATGAACAAAATAAAAGTGTAACATCTTAGTTTTTAACATCCAGTACAACAGGCATAAAATAGTGTTTCTAGATTCTATTTTCAGACATACAGACATTACATTTATTTAGAAGGCCAAAAAAGGATTGAGGGAAAGATGGTAGTCAGTATAAATTCATCATTTAAGTTAACTACTGTTTCCCAAACATATTTGCACTTCATAAACCAACCTCATAGTTTTCCACCTCTCCATCTTCCACATCCAACTCGAAGCTGAAAGCTGGTCCAACTGCAGGTGGCACTGGAAGCATTGATCTGCAGGAAGAACAATCAGGGATAGGATTTATTATTCATAAAATTAAACCGTTGGCCAAAACAATACGCTTTTGCTTTTTTGCAGCAAAGTTATGCCCAATGTTCTCCACCTGCAATTTTGTTCACTTATTACAATGAATATGCTTTAGAAATTAAATGGAAATATTAAATTAATGCATTAAAGTAAAGGATTAAAATTCAGAATCCAGGCTATTCAACAGTTAAAGTTCTCACAGGAAAGTCCAAGACATGGCACATGAGAGAGACAGTAGAGTATTTTCAATTGCTATTTATAAGGTTATGTCTCAGATACCTACGAGTCAGTGTTCCCATAGAAACTAGCATCATTGCATTGATAACTAAAATTCAGAACAGAACTTCTGGCTTCAATCTGTTCGGCTTTTAAAATAGAACAAAAAAATGACCAAAGACAAGTTACCCCAAACTTGAGGTGGCTCTGCAATGCAAAAAACCTAAGTTCTCCAACAGACAAATACATGTAATTAAGTGCGCAAGATGGTCCAATTGCACATTTTGAGAGTAGATCCCACTGCACATTCACCTATACATGTGTATATTACAGGAACTTAGCCCAGGAGAAAACAGAGGGGTTTCTGCATCTGGGAAATGAGATCAAGCGTGGGGTGCTAATTTTTCAGTTCTTAATTTTTTCTTTTTTAATTAAAAACAAGCAATATATATGCTGAAAATTAAGAAAATTCATGATAATAGTTTAAAACGTACAGCAGAGAGTAGGGAAAGTCACAAGTTAAGATTTCTAGGGCACTGTAAATTTGGTCTCATTGGGCTCACACTACAGCAGCAATCTCTCGACTTTGCTAAGTCACCAGTGATGGGGAAGTCAGGAGGGCAGGGCATCTGGGGAAGTTCTGACAAGAACGTGTGATCTAAAGCTTTGCAAGTTCATTGGATCATTTATTCAAATGTAATTTAGCAGAGTCTGCAACTGCAGAGTGCACACAGTGAAAGAAACTGGAGGTTTGGGAATCCAACAAAATACTTGAAACTCGATGAGCTCTTTTTCAGTGCTGTCTTTCAGATACAGGGAGGAATACAAATATTCATCTTCTCTTTCCAAGCATTTTATGTTCAGCTCAAAAATAGATGCAGCATCCACAGAATGAACAAAGCACGTGGAATCTTTTCATCCACCCGATTCCAGCAGAAAGGGGCCCTACCCAGTTTTTTAGGCCCATCATAATCCCTGAATTTTGTTTCTTCCCCACCCTCTTAAAGAAATGGCTGATTGGAAGCAGGACAGAAATTCAGCATCTACAACAGATTAGCAGTTCAGTCAATAAGAAAAGTAACAGCACATAGTGTTCCATTATTTTTCAATAAAACAGTTTCAAACTAAGTAAAGCAACTTATCCCTGAATAAAGACTGTTGGATTTGAATTGAGTATAAACACTTCAGTTTTTATCCCATTGTAAGGACATTTCAGAACGTAACCTGTACCCGCATAACAAAAAATAAGTACAAAAGCCTAGCATGCAAGTGTATTTTATATACTGTTACAGGTGGACCAACTCTCAGTAGCCTTCCACAGGATCAGGAAGAGGCCCATGAGTGACTCTGGGAATATGTCCCTGCCCAATTTCACATTTCTACCATTTGCTTGTTGAAGCGCTAGCGTTGTTCACAAGAGGATGCAAACACTTAAAAAAAAAATATATAATAGCAAGTGTTTGACTCTGTTCATCCTTGAAAGTGGCTCAACTGTTTCTGCTTGTGGGCAAAGCCCAAATGTGGGAAATTTGGATATGAAAGGTAAACATGTAAGAAAGTTAAAGGCAACTGAAAGAAGCCCCTTCCCATGGGAATGCTGAGGCAAACTAATGACAGGTGTTGCTATGTGCTATGCCTGAAAGGGAACAGGCTCTACAGAGTTGGGCTGAGGACAGGATAAGGCCTATGCTAAATGGATCATTTAAAAATGAAAGTACATTAAAAACGTTATTTAACAAGCTACAAAAAGCTGCACAAAACTTACAGCACATATGGTAACAGGCTGGGATGATAAGGGGGTGGTGGTATTGGCTGCTGGGATCGGTATCTACTGCGCCCTGTGAGTCTTCGAGGCATAAAGGGTGGATAAGGCTGTGAGGAGGAAGAAAAGCTTCAGTATTTTCTTGCACAGTTTACTAGTATATTTAAATTAACTGAAATTTGGACTATTAGAACTGATTTTTAAAATGCATTAACAAATAAAATTAAAATGTTTATTTAAACACAATTTTATTAAGACAAGGATTCCTAATTATGCAGCTTCCAGCATTTGGTGTGAAATGGCTGAGATATACAACGTACACAGGAAACCCATGAAAATACAGTAGTCTTTAAAATCCTTCTAAGGCCTGGTCTAAAAACCGGGTTAGTACTAGTGTAACTATTTTGATTTGTCTCTAAGGTGCCACAAGAACTCCTCGCTGTTTTTGCTGATACAGACTCACACGGCTACCCCTCTGAAACTTGGTTAGAGTTGTGATCTTCTGACCTACTGATATGGTTACCCTGGCACAAACCTTAGTGTGTACACAGCTATACTAGTATAGAGGTTCCTTACAGTTAGGCCCAATCAAATTCACAGTCCATTTTGATTAATTTCACAGTCATAGCATTTTAAAAATAGTCAACTTCAGTGTTTCAGTGTTGTAACCATGGGCGTTCCTACCCAAAAGGAGGTGGGGAGGTCGTGGGATTCCCAACCCTGCTGCTGTCAGGGGCACTGCCTTCATAGCTGGGCAGCCTGCTGGGTGCCAGCTCTAAAGCAGTGCTACCGCCAGCAGCAGCGCAGAAGTGAGGGGCAGGTTACCAGTTGGGGGCTGACAGCTGGAGCTGCAGCCTCTCCAGAGGGTGGGTGGGTGTGGGTGTGTGTGTTGACAGCTCGACCCACAGCCTCCTGCCCGGGTCAGGGGCTATCCCAGCCAGCAGCTGCAGAGTTTCATGCAGGCAGTTTCCCAGAGGTGGGTCTGACCCAGCTCTTGAAGCAGCCCCTGCAGGGGAAGAGGAAGTCCTGTCCCGCCCCAGCCTGGCCAGGACTAGCAGCTGGATCCCTGCCCTTCCCCTACAATAGCCAGATTTCACGGGGGAGATCAGATTTCACAGTCGGTGACAACGTGTTTTTCACAGCCGTGAATTTAGTAGGCCCCTACTTACACTATAGTTTATTCCCAAATGGGAATGGGAGTAAACTAGTCCTCGGTATCCTTGTGCTAACATTTCTTACTCTGCCTATGAAAATGGGGCAAACATGGTAAAATTTTGCCACTTATTTTGAAGTGACATTTAAAAGAGTATTGAATAATTTATTTATTGACGGGAAAGATCACTGAAGGATTTTGGTGGCACCTTGTCAGTCATTCTTCATGTTTGTGCCATCCATGAAAATGAACTACAAATAGTAGAAGGCCCCTAAAAATACCTGATCCTCCTTTTTGTTTTTTAATTGAGAAATTATTTCAAACAAATTATATAAATATATATGCATACATAAAACCCAGAATTTAGGACAATAAATTGACACACTGACACATAGCACTCTCATTCTTTCCCACAAACACTTCACCTTAAAAAAACTTAACTTCTACTCCAAAACAATAAGCTTTAATTTTATTCCCTAGTACCAAGTACAAGTACCAACACTATCAAAATGGGTTGTGTGTGTGTCTTCATTTACTCTCATTTCTAAGTCAAGCATACAAGAAAATCAGAAATGGAGCCATTCACCATTGACTAATTACTTTTTAATACTTCATTTTCTTTTCTATTTCACATAAGTAGCATCAAACTAACTTTTCAATAAATCAGTATGAAAAATACAGGATAAATTTTAATGTTTAGGAGTCATTGATCATTTTTCATAAAGCTTCGAAGATTACTCTTCCCTGTCCCAAATAGTACAAATCAACAAATCTAAAATCTCATGGAGAACTGATACTTCTATAATTTGCTAAACTGAAAACACTCACCCTGCTCCCATCCCTTCTCAACTTTTAAAAGCTGAACTTTGTACTTGAGAAAACCCTATTTTCCACCCAACACACACAAACTAGTAGGATGGGCAACAGGGTGGAGCAAATTAAATCAAGGCACTACAGGTAAAAAAGATACTGAAAATGAAGGCCCTGATGCTGCAAACTTACAAAAATATGTAACTTTAATGAATAGTCCTTTGATTTCAATAAAACTACTTATGTGCTTAAAAATAAATATGTGCAGATGTGGTTGCGGGATCAGGGGGTTAAAATTGTGTTTTTATTCAATGTTATTTCAAAACAAAACTGCTCAATGCTAACAGTGAAAAATTATTTAAACTTTCAATACATTAACAAAGTGATTTTGGCCTTTGTGTATAAAAAGTTCACACTTTCAAAATTAGTAAAATTAGGCTACTAAGCCCATTTTAGGCACCCAAGAGCAGGGTTTTCAAAAGCATCTACGTGACTTAAGAACACAACTCCAATTGACTTCAGACTACAAACCCTGACAGAGGAGTATAACTTGGCCAAAGCATTTCAGCTCTCTTAACTGCTGGATGTTAGACGTATTGGAAGATGGGAGTGGTTGTGCATGTAGCATGGACTATTTGCTTATCAATTTCGTGTCTGACTTGGTCTCAGAATAAAGATATTAGCGAGGCCATGGACATGCCTTTTTCAGTATAGGTAAGCATTTTAAGCGTGAAACTTCTTAGCAGAAAAAAAAAAAAAACCTTTAAAGAATTTCAGATTTTACCTAACAACCAGAAAACAAAAGAAACAAGCATAAAATGACTAGCAGCAGCAATTCAAGAGGATAAAATGGGAAGTAATGAACTAGCAACAGGATTTAACTTGAAAAATGTTGTGTGTGTGCACCCTGCTGTAGAACAGGTCCATACCCAATGGAACCAATCAGGGCATGTCTTCACTGCAGCTGGGCGTGCGCTACCCAGCTCAGGCAGATAGACACAGGCTAGTTCTACTTGAGCTAACATGCTAAAAATAGCAGTGTAACCACGGCAGCACACGCAACAGCTCAGGTTAACCCTCAGAGTACAAATCCATCTGCAGCACCTGGGTACGTATTCGGGCAGCGAGTCTGAGCCGTTGCCCAGACTACTCCAACTGCACTGCTATTTAAGCATGTTGGCATGTGTCTGTCTAGCCGAGCTGGGAAGCCCACTCCCAACTGCAGTGCAGACATACCTTAAGTGTCATAGAAATTCATTACAAAACAAGTGCAGCATTTCAACACTATGGTTGTATAGTTTCTGTTGTAGAAGTAGCAGATTGTGCTGGAACAGAAAACCTTTTTTAAGCAACTGGCATGACAGGCTCTCTACAGGGAATGTTTATCAGAAACCATTAAATGAGGTCACTAACAAATTACCTTTGACTTGTTTAGACATGGAGATTAAACAAATTTCATTATGCAGTGACAGCCTCTAGTAAAATTCTACTCAGTAATGTTTTTTTAATAAAACTGTTGTGATGTACAATAGTAACCCATGCCAGGGTATTGATGAATTGAGAAGATAGCATGAGGAAGAGGGAAGTGCTGAAAGCAATACTTACTACTCCAAAGGACACCTCCTGGTGTAAAGGGTCGTGCGTTAAGAACTGGAGAGGGGCTGAGGGAGTCAATGTTGGTGGATGGGCTGAGGGAGGGTAGGTAAAACCTCCTACCGGAAGGTGTTCTCCAAGAAGTTCTACTTCGTTCTCTATCCTTTGAAGTGGCTAGGAAGAAATAGCGTTTGCTGTATTTAGGATAGTTAATTTTTCCCCACAGATGAGAAACTTACAGCTTTGTGTTCCCTGGTTGCTGTCATCTTTTTACAGAAGAAATGTAACTGATTGGATCCATGGCTTCTGTCATCAACACTAGTGGAAAAACAACCATTTCTCTATCCCCCAAGGGGTTAAATAAGGATCTAGTACCGAGGTTCCCAAACTTTTCTTATGACGTACCCCCTTTCAGACCTACCAAACGCCCATGTGCCCCTACCCTTCTCATCACTGATACTTTGTGAGTTGTTCGTAATGCTACCTGTCTTTAGCCATCTGTCCTTATCTTACTGTTACGTACAGATATAGTGCAACGTATACAACTGAAAAAAAACTAAGTTCTGAGCTCAGTTAGATGGACAGTTGCTGAGCAAATGTACGGTGACTGGAGATGAGGACTATGTATGTCAGCGTCTCTGTATCTGTGTTCTCGTAGGTACATCTTGAAGTAAATTAACTACCATATTTTATATAACAAATTCCAAGTTTTAAGCTTTGTCTGAATAGCCTATTATGAAAATGCAAAAAATAAAATTAATAAAACCCACCATTACACAATGTCTCCCATGTATCGCCTCCTCCGAGATGTCTCACGTACCCACAGTTTGGGAACCCCTGATCTAGTATATAGCAACATTTCCCGGCTAGTCACACTCAGAGGCCAGGACATTTGCAAACTGGAAATTAAACATGGAAGTTACTGTAATTCCCTAAGAATATGAGCAGCAGCCTGCTCTCCTCATGCACTACAATGAAGCTAGCTGTGAAACATCAAATGAAAGACTTTTAGCAAGAGGCTCAGAGTTCTTTTGTCCTTCTGGCCACAGTCTATAGCAATGGTTCTCAACTGCGGCACAATCAGCACACAGCTGCGGCCCATGTGACATCCTCAGGGCCATACAAGTAGTATATATATTGTGTGGATGCGGCATACAACACAAAGAGCTGCATATGCAGCCCACAATGGTAAATAGGTGGGAACCCCTGGTCTATAGTAAAAATAACCCCTTGAAATCAGCAACCAGAGATGATCACGAGGGTACACAGAAATACACAAACATGTCAGTCAATGCAAGTTCTTCAATAAAATATTCCACGGCAGTAAGAGGTCTTAGAGTGGATAGATGTTCACGATGCGAGCTTGGGACTCACGAGACCCATGGTCAATTCTTTGCTCCAACAGAGACCCTATAGGACCTGGGGGAAGTCACTTTGTCTCCATGTGCTTTGGCTCCCTATCTATAAAATGGGAATGACTGCACTTCCCCCTACCTCATAGGGAGCCTGTGACAATAAATACACTGAAGAGTGGGAGGCGCTATGGGGGCCAGATAAAATCTGTTTATTTTAGATACTTAAGTAAAATCACTACTGGAATCCAGGAGTACTTTAATACTGATCCTCTGAATCAGTAGGCTACATATTGGTGGGCAGTATCTAGTACAAAGAAGTGCCTAATCCACAGATTATCTCGAAAATGGTTCCAGTTCTCTACTATTTCCTTATAGAATCCATTACCTACATATTTCCAGGTGCCTTCAGCTTCCACTAGGTGCCTGAGCAAGTTAAAAATGTTTCCTATGGGAACGCTCATTGTTTGCACATGAAGTAAGAACTGTTATCCTCCCTCCACGCCTCCTCCACCAAAGCCTGCTCCCTCTGCCACTAAAACGCAGGGTATGGATACACTGTACTGAGCTTCTGCCTTCTCTTGGTTGCTTTCATAGCCATGTCAATCATGTATCGCTTTTACACAAGACATTTTAAAAACACTCTACCTAGTGACAGAGAGATAACCTGTTAAATAAGAGGCTTCCGCTCCCCTCTTGCACTTGGGCACCACAATCCTTCCTTGGGGTGCCCAGGTTATTACACCCAATGACTGTACATAAGTTCTATCACAACAGTCAGTAATCCTCACAATGGTGAGCTTTGTTTGTGACACTTTCATTAGAAAGATGCTAATATTAGCTCTGCAATGATACTTTGCTGCATTTAACCTCAGAAGCCAGTCAATCATTTGCCTATAAAAGGGCAATAAATCTGCTCAGGTGGATCTCTCTCTGGCACCAACAGCAAAGTAAAGGACCATAAGTGAAACAGTAGAGAGTAGGAGGCAACCCTCACTTTACTCATCCCCCCACAAACACTCTGGTACTAAATTCAACATTTTCAGTTCTGTTTTAAATTATTTCTGGGCAGAGAAGCAGCATCATAAGTTCCAGCCCAAAAGACAATTTTAGGAGGAATTCATAAATAGCGTATAACAGCGGTTGAGACTAGATATGCTAATCTAAAGCATTGCTATATTATATATTACTTTATTATTAAGAAAGGTCAGCCCAAGGATCAGATCAATCTTGGTTTCAAAATTTTTAAAATTCTTAACCCCTTACTGTCTCACTAACAGCCCCTTTACTTCCTGGTTGCAAGTAGATAGCGCCACCCACTTCACGAAACACAGCAGAGGAAACCACTGGGTGGAAACAAAAGGAATGGGAAATTCTGTCCCCTGTTCTGCTGAACAAAACTTTAAACTGTAGGCATTTCTATGGCACTCATCATTGTAACCCTGTGGGCCTGGCATAGGAGGGATCAACCCCCACCATACTGGAGTCACCTGATCTTAGTGTAACACGACACCTGACTCAGAGGTTCAGCCATAAGGGGCATGCATAGGCCTGAGCATTTAATCATATTGAAACTGCCCCTTTGTATGTATGTATGAATCAGATATTGGCATCTTCTAAAGTGCCAGCCAAACATACATTTAGGAGGATACAGATGCCTGCCCACAGTCTCCAAAGAGATAATAAATGGGGATTATGAAGTCTCACTTTTTGTTAGGTGAAATATGTAAAATAAAGTCACCTAAGCTCCACTTCTGTATGGACCCCTATCACGGAGCTGTTACCCCCTCCATTAAGCTTTCCCTGAGTGGAAGGGCTCCATAACCTTCTCCAAAAAATATCTAGGTTCTCTGGAATGCATTTTCAAGGACACAAGGCACTATGCTTTTCTCCTTTGTTCCGTCAAAATTCACAATTTAAAAAATATCTGTGAGGTAACTGGACGGGGGCAAGGAGAGGAGAAAGGACAATTTACTCCTCACATTCTCCTATTTCTTTCTAGGAAGCAACCTGTGATTTTGTTCCACCAAGACCACTAGACTTTCCCTTCTGCTCCCAGGAGAGAAAAAACAACTGCAGAAGCAGTAGGAAATATATGAAAAAGGTGAACATTACTTTAGGCTCTACTGACAGGAGCAGAGGAGGAACAAGAGAGTATGTGGCCTGGGAAATACTAATAAGACAAAGGTGACTGTAATTTCTTGTATCAGATTCTTATGGGCCATGGACTTTTGCTTGGGAAGCTCTGCCATTGCATCCAAAACCTGTAAGAGTTACTGAGTGTCAGGTGCACCCACTTTCCCCTACCATAAAGCCAGCTGAATGATGACAGCAAATATTCTAGGAAAGTTAGTTAGTAAAATATGATACTTACCGAGCGTGACTGTTGTGTTTGGAAGGGAACGAACTGGCCTGGCGGTGGCAGGTGAGGAGGATGGTGCGGAGAGAGGTGAGGAGGATGCAAAAGAAATGGATCACTAGAAATAAGGGGTGGGAATGCTGCGTATGGTACTGGTAAGTGTTGGACTGAGCATGCCTGAAGCATCTGTAAAAGAAAAGAAGAGACCACATTTACAATTTTACAATTCTGCTTCTAACCTGAATAGTTCTTTAATTTATAATAGTTTCGTTGTTCACTAGAAGTGGCATTCAAAGGAAATGTACCACTTGCCTCAGAATGCATTGATTTTTTTATATAACCCTAATGTGGTAAAAGAGATGCTTCCACTCAAGAACTGAGATTTATTTCAGAGCTTTGATATCACAGGCAAAACCTGAAAGGTGCTGAGTACCCTTCACTTCAGATGAAGATAAGGGGAGTTGAAGGTGCTCCGCATCTCGCAGGATCAGGCAGGACTTCTGACTGAAATACAAGAAGGGGTAGTGGTTACTTACCCCAGTAGCTTCTATTCTCCATACGTATTGCCTCCTCAGAACCACATGCCTAACTACATGGTTACACAACCATTTTAAGCAATAACTTGGACAGACAAGATGGGTGAGGTAATTTCTTTTATTAGACCAACTTCTGTTGGTGAAAGAGACAAACTTTCGAACTTACAGAGAGCTTCTCCTTAGGTCACCCGAAGAAGAGCTCTGTGTAGGCTCGAAAGCTTGTTTTTCTCACCACAGAAGTTGGTCCCATAGAAAGTATTACTACACTCAAATATCCTGGGATCAACACAGCTATAACAATTGAGCAGCAACTTGTCTCAAGTTCTAGGTATAAATATTCCAACCCCAAGCATTGCTCAGTTCTTCTCTACCTCCAGAATCCTTAACTTCTGAAGCATAGGAGAGGAAAGTGTCACTGTGGCTCTGTGGAGGGAACACACCCTATGCTCTGTAGAAGGTTGCCCCTCTTCTCTCCTTTGAAATTGCCTGCCCAGGACACGCTACAAGACACTAGGTAGTATGCCCTCTGGAGAAGGGAAGCAGGTTGAGGAAAGGAAAACATTTCATGGAAATTTCAATTTTTTTTTAAACAATGGAAATTTCAAAATTTGAAAAAGTTTAACCAGCTCTACAGTTCATCTTAAAATGGAAAAAAAAAATAGTCCAAAGTTTTCCTTTTCCCCTGAATTTTTCAGAGAGTTCTAAGGAGGCGGGCTAAGGAGCACTGCTAACTGAACGACAATCAAAGCCCTGCCCCCTCCCAAAACAAGCATCTGCTCTGGACACAGGATTGAGAGAATCTCCGTTTGTGAAGGCGTGGAACGAATTTCAGAGAGGAATCCCATAAGGTTTCTGTTAAGGGCATATTGTGGATACTTGCCACTGAAGCAGCCAAACTCCCTAGTGAATGAGCCCTGGGAAATCAGGTACAAGATGTAGACCAACTTTTAACAAGAGCACATGCACAGTTTTATGCACTTGAGACAGTCCTTCAGTTGAGATGGCCTAATCTTTAGCTTTCCAGAGGCCATGGACTGCTAGGCTTCCTAAGGAGGGACAGAAATTTTGATATCCACAGGAAGGGACTTCACTTCCCTCAGTATGGTTATGGGGCATTGGAAAAATACAGGCCTTGAGACAGACATGAAGATTCTATAGGACAGGACTACCATCAGAATCCAGCTCCAAGACTCTCCTGGCTGAGCAGACAGTCCTAAAACAAGGGGAAAAGGGGTAGAAAGAGCAAGATCCTATGGACTCAGAAAGACTCTTGGTAATTTTAATGGAAACCAAATTCAAGTCACAGGGATCAGCAGGCTTCCAGATGGGAAGCGTTACGATTGTAAGATCCTTTAACTTGTTACACCAGGGACTGGAAAAAGCCACCCCTTTCTTAGAAACATTGTATGCAGAAATAGCCATAACTGTTGCCAAGACATCAAATAAGAGGAAGTCTCTTCAACACCAATTGCACTTAGAAGCATAACACTTCCTAGTGAAAGGGGTCTGGACTCTTCACACTCCAACAGAAGAAAGTAACCTTGACCTAGAATCCCGTCATGTTGTCAAGTGAAGCAGTTTGGGCGCTGGGTACAAAATCCAATCTTTCTACTGGAAGAAGGGTTGTCCCAGAGAAAGATGATTGGTGGTTAGGGACTGGGGCACTAGTCTGGAACTTCGGAAACATACAGGAAGCAGACTTCCTGCATGACCTTGGGCATGGCATTTAGCTTCTCTGTGCCTCAGTTCCCCCATCTGTACAATGGGGATGATCGTACTACTCTACTTCACAGAGGTATTGTGAAGATAAATACATTCAAGATTTGAGGTGCTGTGCTGTTATGTTAATAGGGGCCATAGTCAGAAAAAGAAAATTGCAATAAAATCAAAACTAGAAAGTTTTTAAAACTACCAAAAAAACCCTTCTACTTTTACACACAATTTTTACTACATTTTATGAATGCTCTGGAGAGGAACTGAGGGACTGCTTGAAAGGGATGCAGTATTCATACCCCTGCACAATAGAATACAAGGCTAAAGGAGCACATATACACCCTGAACTGCCAACTACTTTTTAAAAAGGTGCCATGGTGAGGCACACAACTCCTGCAGTATGGCTCTGTGCAGGCAAGGTCATGAAGGAGAACCTAAGAATGGGGAAAACCAGGTTTTCAGTACAGCAGTGAGTAAGTGCTGTGTGAATGACAGTTCTGCCTCAATACAAATATGCGCAAAACAATCACCACTGCCTTTACTGATTAGAGGGGGACTGCTAGAAGGTGCCATGAACTTGTCCCCAATGGCTCAGTACATTGCCTCCAACACACTTCCACCTCCATAGGCCCAGGAGTGTTGTCAACATCCAACACACTGTATATATTGACAATACTGACTCTGCAGATGGTAAAGAGATGTCACTGATGAGCAAATGCCAGTACTGGAGGTGTAATCAACCTCACTCTATTACTACTACTAATTATTTGTATTACTATAGTGCTCGGAAGGCCTCGTCAATGACCAGGACCCCCTTGTGTTTGTACAGCACCTAACACAGAAGTCCCTGCCCCAAGGAGTTTACAATCTATGTATAAAACAAGAAACAGATGGCTAGGGACAGGGGAGTACAAGTGAACATGAGGCAATAGCGGTCAGCATGATGGGCAGTGGTCTTTGTACTCTAGCAGCCTAACCATTGTCAAGTTTTGTGTAGGCATCACTGAGGTCACGACCCCCAAAAATCAATGTTTACTAGAGGCTGATATACTACATAAGATTAATTGGATCTGAATTTTGATTTCCCCTGAAATGCACTATTAACTGTCCTTGACCATTCACCATCATCTACTGCAATGCAATTTAAGTGGCAGCCCACAGTCTTATCTTGTGGTGACAAGTTATTGTAGTGCAAATGAAATTTTATTGTGTACCATAAACTGAGGATTGGTTCTCTGAATTAACTGAAGATTAATTTATATACTAGAACATTAAGTACTATGGTACAACAATTTGGTGGAGATTCTTGAAGCATATTAAAACAGACTTCAATGATGACGTATTTAAATAAATATTAGATAGCTTTTTGAAAAGCTTGCAATAGCTCAAACAGAAGTTACAGCCTTGATGCAGGAATTACTGGGTAAAGTTCTATGGCCTAGTCTAACCTCCTGTGTAACAAATCATCATAATGGTCCTTTCCGGCCTTAAAACCTATGAATATTGATCTAGTCCACACAACCACTATTATTCAATATTGAGAACAAAATCTTTATTGCTTACCTCACAATACACTGAGAAAACATGTCAATTCAAGACTAATTTTATTTCATTCTGTGTTTTTATTATAGTTACGTATAAAGCTGGAGCGTGTAGTGATCACTACAGGTAAAGATGCCTGGCCATTTCCATTCTAATAGACCTTTTCCAGTTGCTTATATCTAGGGCCAATGTTTTCTGGCAATGAGAAAACAGTAATTTTGGATTTTCAAAGCTGTTTAGTTCAGAAATTTCAGATATGCATTATATTAATACAAAAATATTGTATTGTAATACTGAGGGCTAGAGCCAGCTCCACAGGGAAGGTGGGGGACAGATATGGGGCACTGAGGGCTAGTGTCAGCTGTGTACTGGGAGGAAGGCAGCAGGAGAGGAGCAGGGGAGAGGCATTGTGGATACTGCAGAGAGCAGGTGCGAGTGCTGTCTGCTCTGCAGCATGGCCAGGGAGCCCTGCATTCTGCTCCTGTGCCCTGCCCACCATGGGGAAGCTCCGTGGCAGTTTTGCTGAGCCCAGGCTTGTGTGAGGAGGGGAGAAGTTGGCAATGAGTCTCAGCAGCAGCCAGCCCCCAGCCTCTGCCCTGCACTCTGTGGAGTCAGGTGTCTCAGGGGCCGACGCCAGGGTTGCCAGATTTATACTGCATTAATAGCCCAAAGTCACTTTAAAAACTAGCCCCAAAACATCCCAATCTATTTATTGAAACAAAATGGGGAGAGTGCTGGAGGGTGTGTGTGTGTGTGTGTGTACTAGGAGGGGTATGTTGGCTGGTCTGGAGGGGGTACCTGCGGGCTCACACTCAAGGTGGGGGGCAGTGTTGTGCTCCTTGTCACAGTGGTAGGGCGGCTGGCGCAGGCCCAGGATGCAGTGCCAGCACGTCAGGACTCTCCCTCTCCCCAGGGTAGGGAGCCAAGGCCTGGCCCCGTCAATCCTGCTGGGCAGAAATCGGGGAGGGGGTGAGAAGAGGGCTGACCCTGCATGCCCCATCCATGCATCGCCTCTGCCATGCGGATGGGTGTTTCCAGGCAGAAATATGGGCAGAGGGGTGTCTGTGTCTGTGTGTGTGTGTCTGTGTCTGTGTGTCTGTGTGTGTGTGTGTGTAACCCTGCATGCCCAGCTCACCCTCTGATCTGACCCCCTGTATAACACAGGACAGAACTTCCCTGAATTACTTCCTATTTGAATTACAGCAGATCTTTTAGAAAACCATCCAATCTTGATTTAAAAACTGCCAGTGATGGAGATTCCACCACAACCCTTGGTAAGTTGTTCTGACGGTTAATTACTTTCACTGTTAAAGATGAGAAAGTTACTTAGCTTGTGCAGTAATAGAGGTACTTCGAGATGTGTCCCCCTGTGGGTGCTCCACTTTAGGTGTTATT